GCTAAAAAGATGGAAGACAGAAGTCCTTCTGGAAGTAGAGGATGCAAGACTCCAGGCGGTAATCAGACATGAATCATAGAATCATAGAATCATAGAATCTTAGGGGCTGGAAGGGACCTCGAGAGATCATCTAGTCCAACCCCCCTGCCAGAGCAGGGTCACCTAGAGTACATCACACAGGAACTCATCCAGGTGGGTTTTGAATGTCTCCAGTGAGGGAGACTCCACAACCTCCCTGGGCAGTCTGTTCCAGTGCTCTGTCACTCTCACAGTAAAAAATTTTTTTCGGATATTCACCTTGAACCTCCTATGCTCCAATTTACACCCATTACCCCTTGTCCTATCACTGGTCATCACTGAGAAAAGCCTAACTCCATCTCCCTGACACTCACCCCTTACATATTTGTAAACATTGATGAGGTCGAGGCGCTGTGGCTCTTGCGGTGGGCGCCGAGGAGGGCTGGGGACTCGCTCCTCTCGCCCTGGGTGGCCCCAGCGGGTGTGCCAGCCTGTGTGACACGCGTGGGGAGCTGGGCCCGGGCCGGGCTGTGGGGCAGCGCTGCTTCGCCCCCGGGCGGCGGGGGAAAGAGCCACGGGCAGACGGCTTGACAGGCCCTTTGTAACAGCCTGTGAGAGGTTACACCTGTAACCCCTGCAGGGTTGTCATCCTACAAACGGAGCCTTAAATCGTCCAGTTTCCGGCCATCCTCACAAGTCTGCGTGTGTCTTCTAACGACATGTAGTGTTGCTGGAAGGAGTATTTCAGGCTTCCAGTATCAGCTGCTTCATTTTCAAGGGCCTGATTTTCTGTGCCGTTTGTTTCTTCTCCAAAGCTGGTGTTCATGGGTTATAGTGGATTTTACCCTGTATGTATGCCACATCCATGGCATTTGGGTGGAGATCCAAGTTTTTTTGGCCTGATGGGATTTGAGGTTGAAGAAAAACGGCTCAAATATTTTTAAGCTCTTACAGAGTGATTCCTTAGTCAGATTTAACCAGCTGTGGGCTGCACTTGTGCTCTGTTCCTGTGAGTAATCTTAGGGGCATTTGTCATTCATGGTAAAAACAGGCATAAACATGCAAAAAACGTTTTAATGAGCCAACTCGGGCTCTTGGAAAATGCCTAAAATAGTTTTAAATATTAACTGGACAATATGCATAATATAAAGCACTGGTAGGAATTACTCAAGGCTGCACTGTAGTTCAGAATCATACGTGGCTGCATAAGGTGAGATCCTCTGAGATGTTATGTTTTCATGTTGCATCTCATGTTGCAGTATTTGGAGACAGTGACTGATGTCACTCCAGAAGATGTCTCATATCAAAGTAGAGTTTGAAAATGAATCCTAATACTACACAGGAATATGAAATTCAAAGAAAAAACTAGTATGTTGTGAAACCAATTTTTATGCCATCTTATGTAGTGTGAAGGCAATTTTGTTCCAAATTTATCCTTTTTCTGACTGTTCTAATTTTTTATTCTCAAAATATTTTTATAGGCAATCAGAAAGCATGCTGTTGACCATAAAATGAGAATAAATAGAATGCAAGATCTGAATTTCGTTCAGGTTGCAGCAAGCTTTGTGTGAATGACTCCTAGTTTTAAAAAGAAAAAAAAAAGTTCAAAAGTAGGAAAGAATTAATATGTGTCTTTTTACATGGGAATCTACTGCTTGTCTGCATAGGAGGTTATCACAGAGCCAGTGGCATCTGAACAGACAGCCCAATGTCTGGTTTCACAGACACACAGGAAAAATGCTTACAGGCAACAGGGATTAGCACAGGCAGAGATACTAATTTCTTAAAGTGAGCTAACCTAGAAATTTGCGTGCCTGAGCAAACTTGGCAGAGCAACCATTGGATTGCTTGCCGACAGCTTATGAAAGAGGCAGGACACATATTTGTGGCTTCCCTGTAAGTCTGTTGTATCCAGGTGTTATCTGTTCATAACACTAATACAGAAGGGGTGGGATACCCTATTTTGTGTCTTGGAGTACTCTGTGCAGGGTTTCTTGTTAAGTCATGATCTTGGTGTTGTAAAGAAAGAACTAAAATTTTGTACTATTGTTTCAGTGTTTCTCTGTTGTCTAGTGACAATACTGGGCTAAAAATATAATAAATTGGATTGTATAGGATTTGCATATAGGTCTTTTCAAAGTTAAATAAGGCTGAGATTTTTTCCCCCATAAAAATACTGAAAAATTAATCCTTTATGTTTTGCCTAAATCAGGTATAAATCTCCAAGTTATTTACTCTTAATTTCCAGGAGTCAATTAATATAGTCACGGATTTGTAGTATGACCTCGAGTAATCTGAATACTGTAAATGTTGTTTAAATTCAGTCCTCTGCATTGGGCAGTTGAATTCCCACAGCCAGTGATTAGTACAGGTTTGAATTAGCAATGAAATAATATGCTTATTGTTAACAAATTACACATATTTATGTCACTTATATGTTACACTGATGGGGAATTCATCTTCACTGCATGGAGGCTGCTCTCAGGTTTTGGCATTCGCACAGGCTTCAGAGATTCAAACTGAAAAGAAAATACTTTAAATATTTACAGATAACACCATCTTACTTAGATTTTTCCTGCATTGCAGAAAATCCTTGCACTAATCTAACTGGAGCTGGAAGGGTGTTAACACACATCTGTGACTTCTGAGCTGCTTTTTGTTTTCTTTGTATTCTTTTATTTGCCACTTGACCAAATGGGTTTTTAAACTCAAGCATTAGTTTGGTAATACCAGTTGAGTTTTTCAGAACCTGAAGCTGCCTTTTACCAGCAAAGAAGTTGAGAAAGAATCTATTTGTATCTTCAAAGAAGGAAAGGTGTTTAGTAGTTGTATCTGAAACAATAGTACAAAAAATGTGAAATTGGGAAATACTAATCACCATCCTTTTTACCAAATGCAAACGTTGGCTCAGCAAATAACTTAAGCCTATCCTTAATTTGGCCATTAGTCAAATAGCCAGTTAAGTGAGTTTTAGTCACTTAATGTGACTAATTCCATCTTCATTTATCAAATAATTTAAATTTTTAATAGGACTTAAGTACCTGGTAGGTCCCATTTCATTTAAGATTTCTTGTGTGCTTCAAGTAAAATATGTGCTAAAGTAAATAGGATTCAAATCCTTAACCCCACTAGCTACCCCACTCCAGATTAGGCCCAGCAACTTTCTCTGAAGCCATGGATCAAGGTTTCTATGCTCTTCAGCTCTTCAGTCTGGGTGAAGCCACATGTGCATTAAAGCGTTGTTAATACATTTTCTGCCAGAAATATGAGAAAGTAGAGTTTGGTAACACTAACAGGGGGGATATCTTCCTTTTAAGTACAGATTTTACTAACAAAGGAGATTTGTTTTTTTTTTTAAATACAGATAGAAGAAACTGGTGAATGTATACATTTAGACATATAAAAATATTTTATCTATTGGTTGGTTTGACACTAGGTTTTGAAATACCTTCAAAATGCATGTTCATGGGACGGCATAATGTTTGGTTTCTTGTAGCAGTAGAAGCCAGCACATACATTAGTCTGTAGACATGAGCTAGTGTTCTAGAACCCTTGAAAAAGAGCATAATTTCACAGGAGAATTGTTACAGCTCATGATAGCTCCTGGGTTACTCTGGGCTGTCTTGCACAGGCACAAGTCTCAGGTTGGGAACCTATTAAGCCAGAAATTTCTAAGCTGTGATGTGAGTATTGATAGTTGCACATGTGTCAGTTAGAAGTAGAAATGGTAATTCTGGAACACTATCCCTCGTACACCCTTCTAGAAAATCAGAAACAGTTGTTGCCACTGCTAACTCTAGAGGTGCTGCTCAAGGAGATGACAATGGTACTGACTTCTGCCTGCAGTTTTTATCACCAGATATGCTGCTGACTTGCACAGCTGTTTGTTTCTGCTTTTGGAGTGTGAACAGAGGAATAGCCTGCATCTAAAAATGGTCATGTGAAGCCAGTAGTTACTGAAATTGTGACATTTTTCAATAATTACTTCATCAAATATGACCCAATTAGCATATTTTAAGGCTACTGTACACAGCTATTTCCTTAGATTTCATAAATTTATAAGAGGAGAGTTTGACTCAAGTGAAATATAATTTTGTTTGCATGGTTTTAATTGATGCAGAATACTGTTACATTATCAGTTGCAAAGGACTGAGACACCTAACTCTTAGACATGAAGATTAGGTGTAAAGAACAGCTTTTGTGTAATCCAGCATAGTAAGTATAAAAATAGCACCCATCTAATTAATGGCTTAGAAGATTACATATGGTGCGTATGTCAGGGAGTGATACATTGTATCACTTTCATCTTGCCTCTGACACAAATGATCCCATGCAAAACTCAGATGGAATATTTGGGACTTTATTTCAAAATCTGGGTATTTAGCTTTGTGGGGCTTTATTCATCAAGTTTTGCTTAGGAAAATTTAGAAAATAATGGGTATTTTTTTTCCTCTGTTGGATTCTGCTGTTTCTTGACAAATCTTAAATGTGGTTCTGTTATAGCTGGCTCCACCTCTAAAACTTTATACTTGCAGAATTGATAAGAACTTTGTTATCACTGAAATAAAAAATGCATTCAATAGGCTTCTGTTTTACTGTCACAAACGGGAAAAAAATACAGGTGTGATTATGCAGTGATCAATCTTGCCCCACTGTCTACATTCAGTAGCTAAATAAATCTAGAGCTGTATCTGAGGGTCTCCTGGATTGCCTAGGAGCTGCAGAAAAGCAGTGGACACTTGCCATGTTTTAACTTCTTATCCTAAAGAAGCAGTTTGTAGGTGGGTCACTGCTCCCTGTGAACCTCTTCATCTTTCCAATCCTGCATCTATTAGCCAGCTTCACCCATTTCTGAGTAAGAATTTGGAGTCTTGGTACAAATGTCACTGGCTGGGTAAGAGGAAACCCAACAAATTAATATACATTTTTGTAGAGGAAGTCATTCGGTTCTGTGTTCATTCACAGATCTGCAACTAAGAACTAGTCAGCCAAGGGTAAGCAACCAGAGAAGCTTAAATTATAGATGAGCAATTACAACACCTATAGCATCTCATCAGCCATAGCTGAGCAAGGAGGGGAATGACCGCAGGTACAGAAAAGGCAGCGAACTGGGGAAACTGAGAGGAGTTTAGGGAGTATGGTAGGAAGATGTAAGCTGCATCAGTAGGAAAACAGACATCATAAGTAATACTACTGATAGAACACCCTATTAGTAGGTTTTTAAAAGTATATTATCATGCTAATATAAAAGTAAAATAATTAAAAGTATAAAAAATAGTTGATTACTTAAAAATATAGTGTGGATTCTCATAACCGGGTTAACCTCTTAATGTACTTTGAGACAGCACTCTTTTCTCTGTATATTTCTATGTTGTATTCATATGCAAAACAGTTTATGTAAGATAAAGAGTTCATGGATATTTTGATTTAAAAAATCTTACAGTACCAAAAAGAGAGGAATGTGTATTTCAGGTCCTAATTTTATTCCTTTAAATATGACCTTTTCAGATGTGTTAGATTATATGCTTGAAAGAGTTTTCATCACTGCTCCTAAATCTTAGGATTTCACAGAGATAATTTAAAGCACTTCTGTTCCTTCCTTGACATGTGTACAACATCGGTGCTGTAGTGTTCTGTCAGTATATACAGAGTTAGAAGACTGAATTCATAGCAGGAATTCAGCTGAAAAGATCACTAGTCACTGATTGAGTGTCCTTGACTTGAATTAAATTCACAGCACTGCATGCAGTTGCCTGAATTACCCACTTGGACAAAGGTGTCTTCTTAACTGATTTTGGTTTATAGCATCGAGGTACTGGGGAAGAAGAAAGGGAGCTGGCTGTGGAAGGTGGAAGAGGCAGCAACATCAAATCTTTATTAATTAGTCTAGTAACTAGAGTGCTTGCAAATCATTTGTCAACTTGGGTTGAGTGTCCTTATCAGCCTCTGTGAGATTAAATCACCACATCTCATGTAATTCTGGTCCATTAGAGACCTAGTATGTTCTACATTTCCAGCTGAGAGGAAGCCACTGTGTAGCTAGGAATGCAAGAGTCCTGAAACAGCCAATAAAACAAGCCACAAAAGGGTTGGTGTCTAGGCAGAGTGATGAGCATATCCCCCTGGGACAGCTGAGGGCACCTGAGGTCTAAATCCACTTCAGGCTGAGTTGTTTGAACCCAAGATGAAGTCTGAGAGCTGCTGTTTGGAAAATGTTTGAATGTCTCTACACAGAGTCTCTCAACATGAGAGTCAGAGAGTGTAGAAGCAAGCACTCCAGGGTACCATGAAAAGACCATAGGAAGCCTTCATGACGAGTTCTGCTATTTATGGAAATATTTTTATGTTAGAGTGTTCTGTTCTTCAACTGAAGCTATAATAAAATACATTATTCTCCAGGATAGGACCCTCAGAATGCAACTAGATATTAAACATCGTTCAGCATCAACTTTTGCCCAGCAAGGAAATATTCTAAATGGCAAGAAAATGTCTTTTGTTAATGGCATGAAAACTTTCAACAGGCCCAGCTGCCAGTGAGGCTGCAACCCTGATATTCCAAGGGTATCCTAAAATCTGAGCATTCAGAAACACTTTTATTCAAGGTCCTCCACTTCCCAGAAAGTGGATCAGTATTGTAATGGCATAGGTATCCTAAGGGGGTTCAGAGATACCAGTGAAAGCACTGAGCATTGCTGTTACCCTGCAGATAGCCAGAGTTGGGTTGCAAATCCAGCTGATTGGACTGGGGACTTTTCCTTGCTGGCACAAAAGTTACAGTACGTAGGAGGACCTGAGGTTTGGGAACATAGCTGGGGGGACATGAGCACCTTCATAAAGACCATGACTTGACATGACAAATGATGTGTTTCCAGTGCCTTGGGGATTTCTGCCAATTGGGGATTTCTGTGTGGATTGAGGGTGATTTCTGTGCTGCCCACATGTCCATAATCAAAATAAAGGAGACGGACGTGTTTTAATTTCTCCTTCCTAGCCCTTTCTGGCAGTTTTTCTTGACTAGGAAATAAAGATGCTGGATAGATGGGGGCTTATTCCCCCCTGCCAAATGTGATACAGATCAGTTGTAAAGGAAGAAACCGGTTGACAGGAGGTTTTTTCGATAGAGTTTCTCCGTGTGCCATCTGCTGGTGATGCAAAGCAGGTGGACGTTTCAGAATAGTCCTTTAGGGCTGAACTGATAGATCTACAGCTGAAGGCAGTAAGAGCAGCAAGTTTCTGAACGTCTCTGATCATCTTTAACTCAAGGCAAAGGCGTTTAGCTTACCTGAAGGGAATTTCCTGTATTTTTAACAAGGTCTCTGCTTTTCTGAGATGCCCATGCTTACCTCTCTATGATTCTGTCACATAAAAATCAGTTAGAGGTAGTCTTGGAAGCATTTATCTAACAAAGTATCTCTCCTTCTGGAATTATAACTTAGCTCTGAAAGACAGGTAATTCTGGAATATTTAGCTTATTTTGATCAACTGTAAATGAAACCTTTCTGATTCTCAAGTATCTGCTGTAATCTAGATTTCTAGAGTATACTCTCTTTTTAATCATTAAGACAAACTTTTATCTACTAAAATATAATCTGATATTCAAGTCTTCCCACAGACTTTTACACTTGAGCATTTTAAGTTGAGAAAGTAATGAGGTTCAGGGTGAGGATCCAGCATGACACTGAATACTTTTCATATGTGTTAATGTATGGTAGAGAAGTATATTACTTGAGAAAGAAGGCCATTATTAACAAAGCTTTGCAACCATCGCAGAGACCTAATTCTAAACCTAATAACTTCTTCCTGAAGTTATGTTTGGAATTTTAATATTTAAAAAAATAATTTAGCAATTTTTGTCCCTATGTTTTTTTTAAATCACAAGTAGAGATTAGGAACAATTGTACCATGAGGGGAGCTTAAAATGAGCCATTTGGCGTTGATACAGATGAGCAGCAATGCTGTCTTTTGGTTTTAAAGAGAATGGTATACAGATAAAACAATTGCAGGACAGCATTGAAAAAAAAATTGACAGTAGCATTTTATATATTTTTTTTATATATTTCTTTTTCCCCTTTCCTACTGCTGGTCTGGCAACTTCAGAGCAAAGAGGAGTGGGAGCACTGTTATTGCAGACACTGCCTCTAATACTGTAAACCTGTAGAAGCCTGTACTGTATAAAGGCTGGCTTTTTAAAGTGTGAAATCCTCATACTAACTAAAAATTGACTTGATATTTGTTTGATTTTGTAACAGTGAACGTCGAGCTTATTGATGCTGATTTAGTGTAATTTTACAACAGGGTCCCAGGTCAGTACTCTGCAAATTTCCACATGTGCTAATGATTTTCATTTTATGTATTTTCTCAAGACACTTTTTTGCTTCCCCAACTAATTGTAGTAACTTGAAGTGTATAAAGCCTTCTTATAAGGCCTTTGGGGAAATTATGTTAAAACATTATCAGAAGAATTCTTTGTTTTGCTGCAATCTCTACTAATTAGTAGTCAGACTTATAGACTGTATTAGATACACACATAATTGCAGTAGTGCTCTAACAGTCATTATGTAACAGTGGGAAATAGGAAAAAAAAAATCGGAAATCTGGGCCAGCAGGAGATAAGAAGCCAGGAGAGCTAGAACTAAGAGTCTATTAATATGTGTTGCATGGTTTTTGCACCCTGCTGCCCCCAGTTTGTTTGTAATTCTGTCTGCCCTTGTTGACCCAGCCAAAGGCCACTGAGAAGAGCTTCCCACTCAGTCTTGGGCAGGTCCAGCAAGCTGCTTCATCTGGTCAAGGGTAGGAATCTGGAAGCGGCCAGTAAGTGCAGAGCAACAGCATTACTGCTCCAGAGCTGTCATGCCTCTAATTGCTAGGAAACACTTTTGTGACAATTGCAGACTCTCAAATTGACAGATGAGAAGTAGGATGTGAATGGGAAGACCATATGGATTTTGAAAGTAAGAATACATTTGTAGAAATTGGGTGCATGGTTTTATAATAGGTGTTAAGTAAGCGTGATATAATTGTTAAAAGAATCTTGTTTTGCTTGATATTTTAAACAGGCTCTTGGAAACCTTAAGGGAATTCTTTGTATACACTAGTATTTGTAGTAGTAGGATGTATCCTGTTAAAATTTGCTCAAAAAATGGTGCAGATTCTTAATTCAGGTGCAGATTTGTAAATTGTAGGTTGTGTAACACAGCAGTTGTGAGCCTGACAATACAGCATTTATTTTCAAGGAGGAGATGTAGAGCTTTTGATTCACATTCCTTCATTTTGTCAGCATCTGTACTTGCGTGTAGAGTTCCCAGTCTACCCAACTGCCAGAAAATTGTATGGCAAATTGAATTCCTCATGCATGAACAATAGATTTTTGAAATAGTGTGTTCTCATTGATAGTATGATTTTCACACAAGCATAATTCCTTCAATCTGTTAAACTTGCAATTCATTACAGTACTAACCACAAACATTATCTATGTACGAAACATTTTTCACATTAGTCATTTGATATAATAAGAAAATTTGATCAATAAAACTTTAAAATAAGTGGGAGATTATCTTAGGTACAAAACTGTTGCCATATCTCTGTGCCATTTAATGACCAATGTGAAGTTCAGACTGAAGTGATCTAATGATTTCTTCTGCTGTTCAGCTCCCCAGTCCAGTGAAAGAACCATGGTATCTTGGTGTTCAGATTAAGTTCCTTAACTACACTGTTGGGCTTCGGTAATAGTATAACGTATAAATATATTTTTTTTCTCTGTGAAAAAGGTCTGCTGCAGTGATTTGTGAGTTCTTTGAAACAAGATTCTCTGCTTTGGGTGTCAAAATAAGCGTTTTCTTTTTTCTAACATTTGTTTTGTTTGACACTTTCTTAAAGTGAGTGACTACCCAGCTGTTGGCGTTCCCATATGTGGTCCAGCAAGTCCATTTAAAGGACACTTGAGTACTAAGAGTAATGGTAAGTAACACATGTGCTTTCTTCAGAAGCTTGACATGGTTCCTTTAATGTAAATTAATTTGTTTTATTATTAAAATGTTCTTATAATTAAAACCTTTGCATTGAGCTCAATTGATGAAGTTTAATAGCACTTCCATTTAGTATGTTTAACCCTCGAAGTTAAACACATTCCTTTAGAGTCAGTAGTTTACGTGGGTGAGGGTATGTTTCTGTGCCATGCTGCCACCTGAGGAGCTGCTTTCAGAAGAATGGAGTAACAGCAAGTTTCCATGCTGACATTTTCATAGTCCAACTTCAGCCAATTCTGTATCTATTTATTGGGTTAATGGCTCAGGGAAACTGCACAAAGGAGACGGGGTGATCTCATGTGATAGTAGCTGCTAAAGAAAAATTATGACCACTGAGCAAAGCAGTTAAGCACAAAGTAATTTAAAGTTTGTGGCTTTGAATTACAGTTAATCACTGTTTAAAATTTTAGTATTCTTGTGCCTGCCTTTATAATGTCTAATTTCAATCTTACAGCTTTCTGCATTGACTCCTCCCGAAGTCTAACGAGCCAATACCTGATCAGAGATCACATGGTGTTTCATTATAACAAAATCCTTTCAGCCAAAGGTAAAAATGTGCATATATGAATAAACTTTCTACACCCAGATTTAGCTCATTCTTTCACAATAAGCTTATATCAAGAGGGGATGAATTGGATTGTAGGCAGTGTAGTTTTCTTCCTGTTTCATACCCAAACTGATGTCAGCAAGGCGATATGGCTGCTACTTAAAAGACTGTTGTATTATTGCAATGGGAAGTTTTGCATGAAAACATTTTCCTTAAGTGCTACCAAAGATACTACTGTAATTTTAGGGCACCTGGTGCTGTATTCTCTTCATTCTGCTTTTGATGAAGTAATGAATTATGAAATAATATGATGAACTGATAGGCAAAATAGCAAGCATACAGAATTTATTTTAGGAATGAATGCAGAACATTTTCAGTTAAATTCAGACCAATGTGTCTTTTTTACTTTTTAATTTAAAAATGTTTATTATCTTTTGTTCATATTTCAATTGATGGCACTAGATGGTTTCAGGGACTTTGAAAATTGTCCCATGTGTTCCCAAATGAGAAGACTGTGTTACTAATCAGTATTATGGAGCATGAAATATGTTTTTATTGCATATTTTAATATTAAAGAGTATTTATAAAAATACAAATATTATTAAATCTGGGACTTGAAAGCCTATTAAACTTTTAATGTGCTTGTATGTTTCTTAATTATGGTGAGATCCTGATAAAAAAATTTACAGATTTAAAACTATGTGTTTACTATGGGCTGACAGTACCCTGCTGTAAGTGCTATAATTGAAAATAAGCTGTAATACAATGAAATTGGATTTTTTCAGGGTTATATAAGCAGTATTAAGTACTACAATTTAAAAGCTAATGTCTTGCAAAGAGCTAAGAAAAGTCTGTAGATGGTTGTTTATGTTGTTTACAGTTCACAGCCTGTTTTCATTATTCATGATATAAACTTGGCTCAGGGATCTCAGTCCTAGACATATTAATGCTAGGGCTTGACAGGATGTCCTAAGTGTTTAAATTCAATGTGTAAAAGTTTGCAGAATATAAGTTACGAGATAAATATTTTTTGAATGTCTGCCAAAGCATTGTACACTCTTTTTTTTAGGTATTTTCAGAAATAGAGTTTGGGAGGTGGTTCTACTGATTCTCTTCATTATCCCTCCTTTTCTTAATGTCTGCTTTAAGGAGAGGTACACAGGGGCTTCAGATTCTGCCAGAGTCCGTGCTCACAAATATACTGTCTCCTGTCCACCATGTAACATACTCAGTATCCTCAGGTGTGTGGTTACATGCCATCAGCACAAAGTGTGTAAAAACCTGTTGTAAGGAATCTTCATTTAATTGATGATTCTTCCTTCAAATATATATTTTACTCTAACATCTTTATCTCAAAAATTCTCTGGCTGTGTTCATTTCAATCTAATACTTTACACAGTAATTATGTTTTAAAATAGAGAAAAACCCCTGGGTTCTAATTTAATTAATCTTTGTCCTTTGTTGTTTTATTACGACTTTTTTCTAGCCACCACAAATACTCACATATATGCTTTTTCTTATTTTCAGCAGCTATAGACTGCTCAGTGCCCAAAAGTAGGTTGGCCAGCATCAAATGTAAGTATTTGTGATATGTTAATTCTGCAAAAGCTTCTGTAAAACTTAACAAAAGAGCCAGAGCAATAGAAGATTAGCAGTACAATATAACCCTTAATAAGGCATTAATTTTTCTGCTAAAAAGCTCTAGCTATTTTTAAGAATCTTCAGTGACTTTAGTGCTAGTGAGATGGACCTGGTCTGTCAGTGATTAGTTCTGCTTAGGATCACAATTACTTTTGCTTACAATTCTTTTCATCCACACAGTTAATGGAGCATGTAAGGAGAATTTCAGTATTTTCTCTCTCCTTCCTTCTGATACAATGTGAGCTTGAACTTTCAAGAAAGAAAACTTACTAGTGCACACTGAAGAGGAATTTTCGGAATGTGGGCAACTGAGCACTGGGACTGAAACTTCTTGTTCAGTTTCACATAGAACAGGGCCCATTATGAGCTCGAAGCCCCACAGCCTGGCTTAAACAGCAGGTACTTTTTCTGGGAGGTGTCTCATTTCTTAACACCATTTAAAGATACCAGTACTGTAGCCTTACATCATTGTGTTCACTAAAGAGCTGCCTTTCAGATCATTGACTTATGGAATACTAAATTCAGTGTATTAGTTAAAGGGAATAAATTGCAGCTGTTGAAATTACAGAATCACAGAATTTTAGGGGTTGGAAGGGACCCCTCCAGAGCCCCTGCCAGAGCAGGACCAAAAGAAAAACAAAAAACTAGAGCAGATCACTCAGAAAGGCATCCAGACAGGTCTTGAAAGTCTCCAGAGAAGGATACTCCACAACCTCTCTGGGGACCCTGTTCCAGTGTTCTGTAACCCTCACAGTAAAGAAGTTCTTCCTCAGGTAGAGGTGGAACTTCCTGTGCTCAAGTTTGAATCCATTGCCAAAGTATATTTCTGTTATCTATCCATTTTTTTAACTAATGCAAATTGAGAATGTTCTTTTTTCTCCATTTCAATATTTAGTTACAACTGCTGAGATACTGGAAAAAAATTATAGTATTATTTTAGGATTGAATGAAAAATCCTCTGATGACAAAATACTTTGTGGTTAGTCTCAAATCCAATCAAACCAGAGTGATACTATCTTGTAAAATGATCAGAGTAACTAGAGCTGATAGAGGAAGTCAGTCATGCTTTCGGCAGAAAGATTAAATTTTGTTAGAATTTTTTTTAGTACTTCTGCATAATGGGTGGAGACTGGATTAAGCAACTGGCCGAACCAGCATCAAAGGTGCTGTATGTGGGCTTATCTTTCCCTGTTTTCAAAAGGTGCAGCACAAGTAGTAACAGTATTGCAGACGTATCTACAGTCTGCAGATTGCAGTAGGAATTTTAGATCACCTGTTTTGTCAGTGTCATCTGAAAAAAGTTTTCCTTCTTACCATCCAATTCTACCAGTATTTTCTTTGAAACAAACATGAAAATACAGAGTTGGTATAGGAAGAAAATGTACATCTATGTGTTTGTGTAATAAAACCCTCATGTAGCTTTTATTTCTTTATCTGCTAGAATCTTTCTTAGATTAGAATCATAGAATCATAGAATGGTTTGGGTTGGAAGGGACCACAAACATCACCAGGTTCCAACCACCCTGCCATGGGCAGGGACACCTCCCAGTAGACCAGGGTGCTCAAAGCTCAATCCAACCTGGCCTTGAACACTTTCAGGGAGAGGGCATCAACAACCTCCCTGGGCAACCTGTTCCAGTGCGTCACCACCCTCATCATGAAGAATTTCTTCCTAATATCTAATCTAAATCTACCCTATTTCAGTTTGAAACTTTCACCTGTCATCATATCACTACATGTCCTTGTAAAAATTCCTCCTGCAGCTTTCCTGTAGGCCCCCTCCAGGTACTGAAGCGCTACTGTAAGGTCTCCTCAGAGCCTTCTCTTCTCCAGGCTGAACAACCTGAGCTCTCTCAGCCTGTCTTAGTAGGAGAGGTGCTCCAGCCCCCGATCATCTTTGTGGCCCTGCTCTGGACTTGCTCCAAGAGCTCCACGTTGTTCTTACGTTGGTGATGCCAGAAGTGGACAGAGCACTGTAGTTGGGGTCTCACAAGAGTGGAGTAGAGGGGAAGAATTATGTTCCCTAATTAACAATTATTGTTCCATACCTTTTTGGATCTAGGGTCTTTTTCAACACCACCAAATGCACATTTATGTTAAGAGTCTGCTGTCCAGATAAAATGCTTCTGAGCTGATACCTTGTGTTTTTCACACCAGAATGAGTTTCCCTCAATAATGAGCTCATTTTGGGAGACAGTGACAGTGCCTTAACCTTAACAGAGAATTGTCATGACACTAGCAGGTGTGCTCTGTAGTGAGGAAATTTCCATTTCAGATAGCAAAGCTTTGAGCAATATGTTTCTCTTTCAGTTCATCTTACTCAGACCAGTGTTTGACTATGTAACTCTGTCCTGGTCACAGAGAGAACATTAATCTCCTTTAGATGGTGTGACAGAAACATTTCATCTTTGTTGCTGCTTTTGTTTTACCCATCTATTTGATAAAATTGGTACACTGAATCTCTCTAAATTGCTCTTCCTCTTGTTTTCAAACTGAGACGGAAAAAGTGCTGCTGTGTTTTATCTTATTAGAACATACATACCACCAAGCCCTTAAAGATGTTTGCAAAGAAAAAATAACACACCGTATAGCTAGGGAAAAAACAAAAGAAAAAAAAGCCTTTGATTACATAAGATTCCTCAGTTTACCTACTGTTATTCTAGCCTGAAAATTGGGAATGCTAATTGTTACTTAGTTGAAATTTATTTTATTCCCAAAATAGAGCTAGCTCATAAAGTGAAGCTGAGCGTCATAGCTCAAAGACTGGGATTCTAGTCAGTAGCGCAGGATTAATTTAGAAGAAATGGTAGACTTCTCAGTCTCCCAGAGCTAAGTATCCAGTGTGGTTAGAGCTTTTTATGATAAGATTTAGCTAAATTTAAAAATACAGATTGTTGCCTGATGTTTTACACTGAGAGGAACCATGCAATTATAAAGTGATTATGAATCTGCAGTTTTAAAAAAAATCTGTTTATCAAAACAATAAGTCATGTCTATTTTTGCCTGAAAATTGTTTCTTAAGACAGCACAATGTCTCTGCCTCAGTTTTCAGGTTTTATTTTGTGATGTGCTTCACGTTCTCTAATAAAAATGAGAGTGCCAAGTGAAAGACAGAAAGCAAAGTAATAAAGCAAAGTTATGTAAACAGTATCTTCTTTTTAGAATATTCCTCAACATAGTGTTTTTACTTTGTGATGCTGAAAAATATTCCAAATTACATTTTCATCTTACATCATCTGGATAAAATGCTAGAAACACTTATTTTTATTTTAGTAGAAGATTCCCATAATTTTGTTTCTGCAAGAGTGAGAGGTATCTCATCTGATTTCACTCTTGTCCCAGACACAAGGCTAGATGTTATATAGCTTACCTGCTGGCTCTGTTTACCATTTCAGAAGAAGTGTCTGTCTCCAATAGTGATGAGGGACACTGGTTCATAGATTTCGTGCTTAGTGGTTTATCTTCAACAGCTCAGTCTGTATGCATTGTCATTTCCCCTAAATTTTTGGAAGCTCAGCTTCTGTCATGTACCTGCTTTCATGTAATTGCAGAAATGTTGGTTGTAAGGAACCTTCCTGGGTCATTTAAGTCCTCCTTGAGTTCAAGGTAGGACTTCTCTAACACTACAGCAGTCAGCCAAGTCTTGGAAACCTCCAGAGATGGAGATTCTGCAACTTGAGTAACCTGTTCCAATGCCTTAATCTCTACATAGCTAAAAGATTTTTTCCAGATGTCCGATTCAAACACTGACAGGATTAAAACTTAATTTACTTGAAAGCATTTATTCTGGTAATTCTGTTTCTCAAAGGGAAATTTTGAATGTTGGAATATAAGGGTTTAGGTGCCATAGTTGAAATTGTTGTTTTGTGATGGTCAATGGCAAAAGTATCTCAACTGCAACAGGTCCAGAATTTTAATGTGTGTTTTTATCAGACTCTTAAGATTATCCTTTCTTACATATTAATCCTCAAAGATTTTTACTATCCTCAGTGTGCTCATGTAGCTGATCTATTTTTTAACCTTTTTTAATATGTTTTTTCACCTGACTGAGATGAGATAACTTTATAAACAGAGAAACTCTGCCACACAGGCTGAAATTTGTGCAGAGTTAGCAAAAGGCTAATTCAATGGGGCACATCTACTTTCAAATTCTTCATTATTGATTGGTTGCACTGCCTTCAAGATATTTAAGGTTAAGACTACTTAGGCATCTCTTGTCCAGTATCTGAACTATTCCTGTAAACTCCAGATGTTTAGAATGAAATTTAAAATTATTTTAATTTCTTTCACACCTAAAATTAGAGTGGTAGGGTTTTTTTCCTACTGTTTTATGCATTGTTCATCAAGAACTATAGATTTCTTTAATAATAGTGCAACCAAGTGTTAACATGTTCAGGTGTTAAACTCAGTGCAATGTGTCATTTGCAGTGTCTTTGGCAATCCACTGGAGAAGAGTTCTTCTTCCTCTGGTTTTTATGAATCAGGTTATGGGTAGATGACAGCCAATAGCTCAGGCAGGAAGAGTATTGAAAATGTACTGAGGAATAAAGGGAGAAGGATTTTTAGAATATTTTCAAAACACTTCATTTTTTTTTCTTGCTGGAAGTGGGACACACAGTTTGTCCAGGCACAGTTTTAACATGAACGTGATTGAGTATCGAAGGAGTCTCTGTAGTCAAGGGCTTTACAGCTTTATTCTTCCAGTAGTTCTGTGCCTGTCATTGCCTTAACTGAAACATATTAATTTTTTCTTCTTGTATTCCTTGTCTTATTACTTGTTACATCCCAAATAAGGTTTCCATTCCCCATCTAGTTCAAAAGAGATTTTGGAAGGGGGGTAATTTTTCAGTTTGAAATGCTAAGATTTATTAATAGCATAGAGTTACAAAACAGAATTCTTGCGGATAGTGTTAAAAAATATCCCCCCAAAATGT